TCTATTTATAATTTGGTCAGCTCCTGGTTTTTAATGAGGGTGCAGAGAGTGACTGAAGCCTTTGGCAGCTTGCATTGCAGATTTTAATTACCCACAGTAATTCTGACAATTACACCGGTGTCATAAATCACATTGCAATGACCCATTATATATACATATATAAAAAAAAAAAACCAAAAAACCCTGTTTAATGACTGGCTATGGCTCTGAGTTAAACACTACGCAATGGTGTAACACAGAGCCAAAACTCCGGAGAGTTCAGGCCTTTCCACCACTTCTGGAGCTGTGGCCCTGGCTGGTGAGGAAATTTGGTGCAAAGTTTCCTTCGGGGCGCAAAGCTGAGCTCCTGGGCAGGGCCTTAGGAGGCTGCATTAAACGGGGTGCAATCCAGCGCCGTGCAGCCGGCCGGGCTGGCGCGAGCGGTGCCTGTGTGGGGAGCCGGCTCACGCCGTGCAGGATGCTGCGGGGCTCCCCAGCACCATCTCAGTGCTCAGCTGGCTCCTGCCGCCCTGTTTTGGCCCTTAGTGAAAATTACTCCTGTTGTTTAAGATCTTGACTAAGCGGCGTTCTGTTCCTTAGATTATTTTGCTATTAATAACGTCACAATAAGTGGGTGGAAGTAGCTAATAGCTGTAAGCCACAAATGATCCCAAATGTTCCCAGTCTCTACTCTCCTGTAAACCCTGACAGATTGGGAGTGCTTAGTAAAACATTGTAACACTCAACACGCATTTACAAGACAGCGATCTGTCCCGTGACGGCTTCCAGATGTGGGAGTGTGTGCAATTCCATAACTCAAGAGCACATTCTGGTGCCCTCTGCAGATCCCCCATCAGGCTCTTCCTAAACACTGCTGATAATTAAATTAGCCCACTAACTAGCCGTGTAAATTTTGATAAGCAGTGACCAAAAAAAATTAGAGCAGGAACTGTCGAGATGCTCTCAAAAAATGACAAGGTTGTCTTCAGAGATTATTTGTCATTATGATAAGATTTGTTTTTCCCTTCCCGTCTGCCAAATTCCACTTTGTCCCTTTGTGCATGACAGCAGTTTTCAGGTTTTAATCTAATAATTAGGAGCTGAATTTTGCCACCCTTGCTCAAGCTGTCTGCTGTCTGCCTCCCCGAGCAGCCTTTGTGGATCAGAGCAGGCAGCTCTGCTCCGGGTGGGCAGCAGCACCGGGCGCATGCAGCCTGTCCCCAGCACAACCTGCAACCCACAGCCAAGGCCAGGTGCGTGCCGAGGAAAGGAGGGGGTTTGTGTGGCCCTCGGGTGACCTCGCACAGGAGGACAAGGCACCTCACCAAAGATTTCACAACTGGGAATAAGAAGCTGTTGTTTTCTGTCAGAAATAGTGGCTCCCAGCTCTGCCTCAGGAGATCTGCTAGCACAAGCTTCCCCGGGACGGTCGGCTCTGTTAATTTGTGCAAGTGCTGAGGGTCCTACACCTGGTTTCTCTGTGCCTGGGCGCCGTGTCCTTACACAGCAGAGCGTTGGCAGCGGGAGCTGCTGGGTGAGGAAGCGCAGGGCAGGGCTCACAGTTCCTTACGTGTCCCTCAGAGCTCCTGGACGCGCTCGCGCCCAAAGCGCTGCGGCTGTTCGGGAAGCCTGGGCTTAGCTCGTGTGTCTGTTTGTGTGTGTGTGCGTGTGTGTGTGTGTGTGTGCTGCGTGTCACGGGGGCTGCATGGGGCTCTTTCCAGCCTCTGTTTCTTGGTTCACATTTTTTGTTCGTTTTTCCAATTCTAGGCAAAGCAAGAATCCCTGAATTTAGGGGGTGATTGTAAGTATAGCTACAAGATAAGTGATAACTAAGGATTATTTTTGTATCAGTGAGCCCTCTGCAACCATGCTGACTTCACCAGGATTACGTGTGTGTCGCTTAGGGGCAGATTTGGTTCAGTGGATGTAATTAAAAAAAAAAACCTACTCGTTTTTAAGATTGGCTTTACTTGTTGCCTGATGTATTTGTTAATTACTGGATGGAATACTCCAGATTACAACATTTTGCAATGATGTAAAGTACCTCCGAGCCTGTTAATTAATTGATTAAGGTCCACAGTCACATGTGAGGCAGGCAGGGCACTTTGATGCCTTCTGATTAGAGGGCAAGGGCTTCACAAGAGCTACCAGGGCTTTGCCAAGGCATCGGGAAGAACATCAGTAGTTTGTCATCAGGGAGTTGTTGGCAGCTAAAGATTGGATAAAAGGATCTCCCCTCCCTGCCCTGTGATGCTCTGGACAACTGTTAGCACTTAGGTTGGTCCCCAAGTTAAGTTTGAAAGGTCTTGGATGTGTCCGAGCATCTCGTAGCGCAGATGAAGCCTCAGGCTCCACGCTGGGCACCCGCAGCACGACTGACTGCTGAGCTGGGAACCTGCAAACGGCCCCGGAGCGCCGGGCTGGGCTCTGCAGGGCGCTGCAGCGCGCCAGGCCCACGTCCGCAGCACCCGCAGCGCCCGGCGCTGGCTGCTTCACTGGCCTCTTCAGAAAACCAGATTTCTGTGAGGATCGTGCAGTTTTCAGAGCATATGGCAGAAGGAACCCTTCGCTAAAGAAGGCTTTGCTAAATCGGAATGTGCTGCTTTGGCAAGGTGGATGCCTTTGTGATGGAGTGGCTTTCCTGCTGTCTTTTTCCTCTCCTACTTGAGGGCTCCAACAGGTGTTTCCTCCAAGGCATATCTATTTCCCATAATATTAGAATGAAGAGATGTCATTTCTGACAGGTTGTGTATATAGATGATGGCTTTATTATGATAGAGATATATACACTGATTGATTGGTGGAGCTGATTTAAGTAAAGAAAGCTTGTGAGAGGATAGTCTCCAACTTGCCAAAATACCATTTAATCACTGGCCAAGACATGCGTTACCCGAGGAGGGGAACAGCTCTGGCTAATGCATCCGAGTGCCTGCGGGATTGGAGGCCTCCCCAGCCCTCCCAGGTTTGTTGAATTCCGGAGAGCTGGCTGGAAGCTTCTCCCTGCCCCTCCTGGGAGAGACGAGAGGACCTTTTCTTTAGCCGAGGGGTGGCAATTGCAGCTGCTCAGCAGAAATGCTTGACAACGCAGTCCTCGTGGGAATCCGTGCTGCCCGGAGCTTGCGAGACCAGGAACACGATACACGGCAGGCGAGGAGCAGCCACGGGATGGGGAGCGGCCGCTGCTGCGGCCTGAGAACCTCTGCGTGCCGGGGGGCATCAGCTAAGGGGCTGGAGAAGGCCTGGAAGCCTCCTGGCTTGCTGAGGCCAGGCCATAAGCAGAGCAGAGCTGCTCTTTACCCCCTTTTTTTTGTGCTTGTCCTTCTCTCCTTTCCTCCAAGCTGGTTCCAGCTGCCAGTGGCTGCTGCTCCCGCCTGCTCTTCAGCCATAGCAATGCAGCGGCCCGCGTGTGCATGCACATTTCTCCTCTTCGGTCCCTTTTTTGTTGAAAAGGAGATTTTCCTGCACTTTCCATGAGGCAACTCTTGTGCCCTCCTTCGGACTGGCCGGTGTTTGCCCTCATTACAGATCAGACGGGGTTTGGATATGCAGCAGGCAATGCCTTTTTTCCTCATCCTGCAGCAGTGTGGGGTGGATGGAGGCAGGAGGCACTGCCGGGCTGGAGAGCCGCTTCCCGGGGCTGGGATTCCAGTCAAACCCAGCACATGTCGGGAGCATATTGCAGAAGAGGCTTGTGAGCACGCTGGGCAAGAGCCAGCCATTGCAGTTTTTCTCAGTGCCATTAATAGACCCTTTGTGGCTTTTATGTTTTGTGCTGATTTTAGAAATAGGTGAACAAGGAAACCTATTCTAATATCCGCAGTCCTGGGATTTGTTATTAGCCACTTAGTTAAAGGCCTGGGGAGCTAGCGGGAACTGCAAGAAAGTTCTGGCCTGCTCTTTGATGAGATCTCATGTAGAGAGGAAAAGATTCTGCATCTTTGCTGCAGTTACTGCAAAGCCTGTGGCTTTTAATTAATTATCCCGAGTAGGAGTTAACCGCATTGCCGCAGTGCCATGGAATTTGGCACAAACTGCACACCTCTCCCCTCAGCACGTTTGCCAAAAAAACAGGCAAATTCTCCGGTTACCTGGGTAAGTCGGCGTGTGCCAGGCACCGTCTAGATCCGCCTTGGAGGTACCGTAGTGAATGACACCATCCCCATCTCCCCTTTTAATCTTGCTACTGCGTAGGCAAGGTAAGGACAGATGGGACAAGAAGAGCAAGGACAGGAACACGCACATCTGCAGTGGTACAGCTTCAGCAGCTGCGGTGCTCCGCGTGTGCTGTAATTCTAGGTGGCAAGTCTCAGTTAATGCTGTGGCAGCCACAGAGCCCTCAGAGAAGTGTTGCTCCTGCCTCAACTGTCCGAGGTTGATTCCGCATCCAGCCCAGCTGGAGAGGGGCTGTGGAGCAGGGGGTTGTCTAACAGGCTTCCAGTCTCTCTGCTCGTGCTTGGGTCATGAGTGGACACCAGCTCTTTCATAACCCGTTGTTGCTTGCTGCATAGCAGCCCTCTGGAACAGGGTTCAGAGGAGCTTCTGGGTGAATAGCTCTTGTTTCACATGGTCTCGTTACTGCTTCTAGGCCACCACACAGCTCAGAAACACAGCCACGTATCTGAAATCTGCCTCGGAGAGTATCCTGCAATGTGGGTCTCATTTAAAGTCTCTGAATTCAT